TAATTAAACCCAGTCACAAAACAAACAAACAAACAAACAGTCAAAATGTGCAATCAGTCCTAAAAGATTTTTATTTTCTCATTTATCTATCTATCTATCTATCTATCTATCTATCTATCTATCTATCTATCTATCTATCTATCTATCTATCTTGTGTGTGTGTGTGTGTGTGTGTGTGTGTGTGTAGTATTCATGTGTGGTCAGAGGAAAGCTTTGGAATCAATTCTTTCCTTCCACCTTTATGTATGTTCCAAGGACGGAATCCAGGTTGCCAGGCCTTCGTGGCAAGGGCCTTTACCAGAGGAGCCATCTCTCTGGTCCTCCTATCTATTTTTTTCTTAGCAACAGATTTAAATGGATGAAGTTGTTAGATTTGTTAAAATCCTATTACAAAAGGTATTAGAAATTCCTTGGTTAAAAACCACCCCTTCCTTCCCCGGCATCTCTGCTCTCATTTTGTGTATCTGTCTTTTGCTTTGGATGAGATTCTTGTCTGACTCTGCACAGACATGTCAAGCAGTCCAGGACTGTCTATGGATTTATCTCATCCCAGTGTACCAAAGGCACCGAGATAACCAGAGGTTCCGAACCTGCACTTGCCTTGGGTTCCAGGAACAGCAGAGCCTTGCTGGGTCATTCCCAGATGAGGGCAGTTATCCCTGAGGGTGAAGCTGTAACCCAGGTGCTGAGTCATTCTCTCCTGAGAACCAGCCTGTCCCCTCAGGTAATAGGGACTTCTTCAGACCATCTTGAAGAACTGGAGTTGAGATAATGATCAACTAGCTAACACCTTGGCTAAGTCAGCTTGGGTTAAAGTCAGGTCGTCAGGCTTGGTGGCAAGTACCTTTACCTGCTAAGCTCCTGCCTCTCCCTCCCACCCCTCCACCCCTCGGCTTTTCATTCTTTCTAGTTAGGGTTTCCGTTATGGCTAGATTTATGTCAACTTGACACAAGGTAGAGTCATCTGAAAGGAAGGAACCTCATCTGAGAAAATGACTCCATAAGATCCAGCTGTGAGGCATTTTATTAATTAATGATTGATAGGGGAGGACCCAGCCCATGGTGGGTGGGGTCGTCTCTGAGCTGGCAGTCCTGGGTTCTGTAAGAAAGCAGGCTGAGCAAGCCATGGGAAGCAAGTCAGTAAGCAGCTCCCCTCCATGGCCTCTGCATCAGCTCCTGCCTCCTGGATCCTGCCCTGCTTGAGTTCCTGTCCTGACTTCCTTCAATGGTGAACAGTGATGTGGAAGTGTGAGCCAAATAACCCTTTCCTCCCCAAGTTACTTTGGTCATGGTGTTTCATCATATAATAGTAACCATAACATGGTGTTTCATCATATAATAGTAACCATAACATTTCACATATCCTGGGATGGCCTCAAGCTCTTTATATAGCCAAAGATAGATCATGAACTTCTGATCTTGCTTCTACCTCTGGGACTGCTGGGATTGCAGATGTGTGCCACCACATCAGTACTGGGGGTCAAACTCAGAGATTTGTGCAAAGCAAGCAAGCTCTAGACCCGAGCTACATTTCCAATCCTCTTGTTGTTTTGTTTAATTCTGAAACAGGGTTTTGTTATGCAGCCCAGGCTGGCCCTGAACTTGAGATCTTCTTGTCTCTGCCTCCCTTGTGCTGTGCCCACATTTGTGAGGAATGACTCTTACCTTGTAACTTTGCCTGGGGAGGAGTCATTGGCAATTGTCCTGTGTATCAGAGGTCCCTGTTCTGGATACTGGCTTCAGGTGACCACTGATGTTATAGGATGCTCAATCACTTGGGATGAGTGGGCTTGAACATACTAGACAAGGCAAGTGGTTTTCTTTTCTTTCTTTTTTTTTTTTTTGGTTTTTTTGAGACAGGGTTTCTCTGTGTAGTTTTGGTTCCTGTCCTGAATGTCGCTCTGTAGCCCAGGCTGGCCTCGAACTCACAGAGATCTGCCTGGATCTGCCTCTCAAGTGCTGGGATTAAAGGCGTGCACCACCACCGCTCCGTAAGGCAAGCAGTTTTCTAAGGTCCAGGTCTCTAGTCTCCCTGACCTGGGCTGATCTTATTAGGCTCTCTGAGAATGAAGAACAAAGGAATCCCTGCAATTCTGACCCTGCATCCTCCAAGGACAAGCTGGAGGCAGGTCCTGGTCTCAAGTGCATAATAACAACTATTTTGGAAGCTCCCTCTCACAGATATCAGCCCCCACTTCCCAGACCTGTCTCATGGAGGCTGAGTCATGGGTCAATGATGATGGTGGGCATGTTGTGGGGCCAGCCAAGCCTATTGATCGAGGGCTGAGACATCCTCCCCACTAATCAACAGTTAATTAAGTCTTTGAAGAGGAGGTGGTGATTAATGAGCAGTCAGTTTGTCCTGTAATTGGGATGCAGAATGGGAGAGACTGCCAAAGACGCACAAAAGGGGTCTGTGGGGGGGGGCTGGCTCCCGGTCCGCATTGAGGGGCCCCCTTGGGTTCAGCTGCTTCATACACCGAATCTGGGCCTTCCCTTGGATTCCCCTTTCTCCTCTGTCATCTTTTCTTGAACTTTGTATTCCCTCAGGCTATTGAGGGGCAGTGTTCAGGTGTGATGAATCCTCCATGTTCTTCTCACAGGCTCCTTTATCTCTGTCTGGGGTCAATGCACCTACAAACCCCTCACCACTGTAGCTAGCCTATGAACTTCAGGAGCCTACGAACAAATGTCCATTACCATACCCTTGGCCCTGGTAGCCTGTAGCATCCTTGTCTATCTAGACTCTGATCTCTATGACAAGAGCGGTCCTAACCAGTGTCCAGGCTGCCCTCTCTCCAGCCCTGTCTTTTCATCCATGGCCTTTGGCTTCCCCGAAAGGAGTAGAGTTATTTCCCTTCTGTCGTCTCCTCTCCAAACAGGACACTGGCTGCTTTCTCTGTATCTGTTTTAAGATGGTGGGGATTCCCAAGGATGTGGCTCTCCCTTGAGATGAGGGTTCCTGGAGGAGAAGGCTGTGCCTTGACTCTCAGATACAGGCCCCCTAAGAATGATCTCTCTCCTTTCTCCAGGGCTGGGGTACATGTCCCTTTGACCTGATGTCCTCTTCCACCTACGTGCTCAGCAAGATGACCTGGTGCTTCTTCTGTTACATGGGGCCCATGGGACCTGGCTGGTTGATAAGGATCCGTTTCCGGAGAGTGCAGGTGACTGAACCCATAAAAAGGTGATTGAAAGAGCCCTGAATGCTCCATCTCAGGCGAGTTCTAAAAATAGCACCCACAGCCATCTGTCCTGAAAAGTGGAAGGGATGGCCCAGAACTAGGGGTCTGGCCAAGATGGCCCTTCCTGTTTCCATGGGTTGGATGGAGTGGTGGCTCTGGCCGGGCTGAGAGAAGGAACTGGAAAGGCTTTACAGAACACTTCCCTACGGCCCTCTCTTCTCAGTGAAGCAGGTGGGTCTGATGTGGTTGGTGTTCTGGGGTTCTTCTTCCACTCAGCCACTCAGAGTAGGTTGTGGTCCAAGACTTATCATATCCCAATGCTTGCTCCCACGTGTAACTCCTGAGCTTCAAGGTGCCAAGCCTGTCTCCTGTCCGCGACGAGAAGGCTGTTTCCGAGGTCTGTCTGCCCTCTTCCCCTGTTGGAGCCACGGGTGACCCCTCAGAACTTCAGTTTTCTCAGCTGTAAGGTGGGGACACTCTGAATACCATGCAGGAATTGATGTGTTATGCAGTGTAAAATAAATGCTTAATAAACATTAGTGGTTACTCCTCTTCTGCAGATGCACACGGCCTTCCCTCACCAGCCCGAGTCCAGTGATGGCTGTAACGGGCTCAAACAGTGGCATACACCTGGTCACCTGGCATCACTCAGCCACAGAAGACACCTACGTCCTGATTGGGGATGCGATTCCGTCTTGAGAGGGCATTCTGTGTCAGGTGTGTATAGCTGGTCCTGGGTCTGCCTATTTTAGGCTGGAATATACATGTCGCTGATGCAGCTGCTTCTGGGAAGGGAGCTAGATTTTTCCTCCACATGTCTCCCTTTCAATGGAGAAAGGACACAACGGAATGTCTGTCCAATGAGGCTTCATCCTCAGGACATCATAATCAGGTTGGGAGGCAAGGTCTCATACCCACCCCTGCCTTCAGCAGGAAAAAGACTTCCCCTGCATGTCCAGTCAGAGGGTCGCTTCATGGAAGGGGCTGTCATGGGTCCCCCAGGCTGTGGGAACTGTGTTCCCCCTTCTCCATCCCTTTCTATGAAAAGGCCAAGGAAGATGAACTCTCATTCCTGATTTTGTCTAAACTCTAAATTCTCTTCCTTGTGGCAGTTGTGGGGTGAACACAAGATTCAGACAAGGCACCCCTCCAGAAGGCCCCCAAGTCGGAGGACCGGGGCTGCCCCCTCAGCTCCTGCGAGGTGGAGAGACAGCACGTCCTGGCTGGGTGTAAAGTCAGCGATTGGCAGGGGTGGAGGGAGGGAGGAGACAAGCCCTCCCTTGGTGGATCCCCTCCCCTGGATTCCCCCTCCCTTTCCAAGTGGGATATAAGTCCCGCCGGGGAAGCTCGGAGCAGAGGCCAGCGTTCAGGAGCTGTCCAGCACTCTAGCCTCCCCTGCCTTCCACCTCCTGCTCATCTCGCTTCGGGAGCTGTCACTGTGAGTGACCGGGGCCCAGGAATGGTCTGGTATCCTTCGATTTTGTAGGGAAAGCGAGGTCGGGTCAGTGGAAACGAGCTGAGTAGTTGGGAGCTGGTTGGGCAGGGTCTAGCTGCGGAGGGATGGGGAGCCCGGGGAACCCGCGAGTCAACTTTGCTGTCTTCTCTTATCTACCTGTTTGGGTACTAGCGGGAGCGGGGAGGCGGGCAGGGCTGGCTAATGGATGAGGAAACCGAGGCTAGAGATGGTGCATGGCGGGAGAAGACGAGGCGAGCCGGGTGGCTGAGACACACAGGTCTTTGCGGGCCGACGGCAGCCGCAGCCTCCCTTGTGGGAGGGTCGGGGCTCAGGATGGCCCACCCTTCCATGCTCCCTTCCTAGATGGTGGCGGTGCGTAGGCCTTGGTCCGTCATGGTCGCAGTGCTGCTAGTCCTGCTCGCCTGCCTGGGAGCGCTGGTGGACGCCTACCCTGCCAAACCCGAAGCTCCGGGCGAAGACGCCTCCCCGGAGGAGCTGAGCCGCTACTACGCCTCCCTGCGCCACTACCTCAACCTGGTCACCCGACAGCGGTGAGCGCTGGAGAGGGCGGGCCGGGAGGACCTCCCGGGTTGCACCCTCGTCCCATCTCCACCTGGAACTGACCATGCCCCTTTGTGGTCCCGCCCTCAGGTATGGGAAAAGAGACATCCCAGAAACTCTCCTCTCCAAACTGCTCTTCACCGATGACAGCAAAAACCTCCCCATCAGGTCTCGGTAAAAAACACCCACCCTCCACGACAGGCATCCCCTGGAGAGTGACTGGCCCCATCACGTACACCTCCCATTCAATTCCTTTCCTTTCCCTCCTGCAGGCCAGAAGGTGCCTACCAATGGTGAAGACCCCCGAGACCTCCTTCGAGATGTGCTAACTATACCGACTTCATTTGCATACTTGGTTTGAAGAGAGGGCTCCATTCCATATCTTGGTGTCCCGGGCGCCCAGGCTTGAGGGCGGTGTGTGTTCATTTCCCTGTCCCCAAATAAAAAGCAAATTTCACACAAAATACGCGTGTTGTATTTATGTTTCCGTCCCTTTCGCTTTTGTGGAGGTGGCATCAGTGGTGCGTAAGGTGGCGGCCGGAGCCGCAGCAAACACTGGTGGCTAAGAAAAAAAGATTCCGAGGACAAGGAGAGGACTTGGTGGGAGAGTTCAGCATAGACACTTCCTCCCAGCCCGGGGCTCCCAAAGGACCTGGGAAGGGAGCCGAGGAGAGTGGGTGGAGTGGATTCTGAACAGGGGCCAGCAAAGATCCGGATGGAGAGGTCTTTGAGGGCAGTCCAGGAGAGTGGCAGGGGAGTTCCCCTGAGCAGCCATGGTTAGTCCCAGGGCCATGGAGGACAGGATAGGGTCTAGGATGGGACCCTGGAGGCAGAGACCTTGGAGAGGTGATGTGGGTGCACTGAGTGAGGCGGTAAATAAGTCTCACCTTCCTCGTTCCCTGAATGGGGGAAGCAACGGGAGTGTGGAGGTCTCCGCTCTCTCAGCAACAGTTGGAATTCCCCATATGCTGAACGCAGACTCGATGTCTATCACTAACTGTGTTTTTCTGGTGAAAAGGCCGTGGGGATACCCGAAATTCCTCTCTTTCCCCATTAAACACTGAGGTCTAAGGTGCTGTGGGTGTTTAAACTATAGGCTAGCCAGAGCTCATGGGTATCTCTTATCGCAGGAAGCCCATTAATTGGCCCATTAATTATGCCTTTCCCCCCCTTCTCTAGACACCCAGCTCTCTCTCTCTCTCTCTCTCTCTCTCTCTCTCTCTCTCTCTCTCTCTCTCTCTCTCTGGCTACTTCTCTGTTCACTATGAAACGTGTCCATTTCTCTGTGTCCTGTTTTCCGAGGTCTTCGGGGGTGGGATGGAGTCAGTGCTGTTGGAAAGGCATGTGTGCCTGATCCTCTGTTAAGCAGCGCCGGCCTGGAGAGGTGGCTGGGAAGGAGAGGGAGGTGATCATGTTGAAGCCAAGGCTACAGCTCCAGAGAAAGGGTGTCAGTCAGGAAGGCTGGGTGGTATCGCTGTGTGGATGGGGGACGCGTGCCGGACTCATTACTGCCTGGCGGCCCTGGAAGGAGAGTAGCCTCTGCTATAACACTTCCTGCGCAGGGGACCATGGGGGTCCCACATCTGTCTTCTGGTGCTGCCCTTCAGGGCCTGAAGGGAGAGGAGGAAGAGGCAACCCTAGGACCCAACACGTCATAGACGGCATGGGTTCTGGTCTCCACAGGCCTTGCTTGCCGTGCATTTCCTTCCTCTCCTGCCTGGGAAGCCCCCTTGCACCATAGTCACCTCCTAGGGCCACTCCTGGTTCCTCTTGGCGGAGTTAGACCCTCTGCATCTCCCCCTCCAGTACCGCTGCTTCCCGAGACTCCCTCTTCTACCCCAGTGTCTCCCCATGTCCCTCCACCGCTCCCAAGACCCCCCTCTTCTACCCCAGTGTCTCCCCATGTCCCTCCACTGTTCCCGAGACCCCTGTTCTAGTCCAGTGTCTCCCCTGTCCCTCCACTGTGTCCGAGACCCCTGTTCCACCCCAGTGTCTCCCCTGTCCCTCCACTGCTCC